CAAAGCTTCCACGCGGTGACGGTGTTGAATATAGTGCCGAATAACCTTGGGGTCGAAGACCATCTGTTCCTTTTGATAGAGTTGACCTTTTTCGTCCTTGTATGTCCGCATGATGCGCAGAACTTTGCCTCTCTGGTCTGGCAAGCTCATCCTGCTGAACTGACTGGTCGTCTCGTCGTCGCGCCGATATGGGGCCGGCGTAGGCGCTTCGGATCTGGGTGTCGGCTTGCTGTACTCGGCTTCGTCATCGCGGTCAATGTCGCTCTCCTCATCGGAATGCTCAACGGTCGACGACAGGCTGGCCTTCTGCGCATCCCAGATGCGGCGAATGGACGTTTCGTAGGATTTCTGCTGCCGAGCGACATTGTAGCTGTGGCCACCCAATTCTTTGAGTCTTTGGGCATCGAGTTTATCCTCCACACTCTCACCAACAGCCTTGAATCCACCCTTCATGGAGGTCTTGATGAAGCTGAATCCCTCTCCACGCCCAGTAGGGTCGCCTTCACCGTGTAGTTTGAGCATCGCTTTACCCTGAGAGGCCAGGAGGAAGTTGCGTGTAGCCTTCCAAGGTGCCATTTGCTGTTCGAAGCTCTCGCCTTCTCCATCGTCATCATCGTCGCCGCCAGTCTCGGCATCGTTGCCAAAGCCGGTGTCGTGAAGGTGCTGCTGACCGACCTGCATGGATTCCAGCAGACATACATCCTCCGGTTGCACCCACGACCGAATTACATCCTGCTCCGGAACCGGCTCCATGGGCACCCAGTACTTCGAGTCCTTGTCGTGCTGAAGAAAGTCCTTCACCTTCTGACGGTTCTGCATATCACTGGTGCCGGGAATGTGCGCCGTAACGTCGCTGATGGAGAGTCGGAGGTCGGGGCTCTTCTTCAGCAGACGATAGACCAGCATCTTCATACGATTCTTCGCCACCGTGGTGACCTTCCGCGAGTGGGGCCCGGGCACGTCCACCGAAGGAAACTGCTGCCCAGCCACATACAGATTCTCAATGTTCCGGATGTAGTAGTCGCTACCGCCGGAGCCAGTCGTGCTGCGCACGATCAGGAAGTCGTTCGACTTGGCCTGGTGCTGGAACAGCGGTGCGCGATACATTGAGTTGGAGATTGCGGGGGTTATCTCGCCCGGATCGACGTGACCGAAGATTGAGAACGGACTCTTGTCTTGAGGGAGCAGGACAACGGTCTCGCCAATCTCTGCCTTCGGGCGCGTGGGGTCTTCCATGCTCTTCCTGCGGTAGTAATTGATGAAGCGGTTAGACATACCGAAATTGGACAGCATGATAGGAACCTCTTCCGAGTATTCGACCAGCAAGACGTTGGAGTTATCAGCCAGGGAGAGGGATTTGGTGGAATCAAAGAGGGCTTTGACGTCTTTGCCCCTTTGATGCTTGCGCTTAATGTACGCGGTGTTTTTGAACCAACATGTCTGTCCCGGCCTGAAAGCAAGTGCTGGACGGTGGAACGAGCGAGCTTCGGCCTTGGCCAGCTCCGTCTTGTAGTAAGGCCACTGCAGGCGTAGAGCAGGCATACTGTGTTCCAACGTAACATTGCCCAGAGTGCTTCGGACCTTGTTCTGATGGTTTTGCTTGAGCATATCGTAAGCTTGGTCGTTCGAGATGTTGTACCGTGAGGTGAGACGCTTGGTGACACTGGCGTCCATTTCATCGCGGTTAATGGCGCCCAACGCTTTGGGCTTCTGCGTGGCATTCTCTGGTCCACGCTCATCGAGGAGGATATGAGGGTCGTTCATGTCGACAACCACCTTCTGGGCGATCCGCGAGGTTGCCTGCTCAGGGTCATCGACAATGGGCACATCGATATGGGCGAGTGCCACTACCTCCAATGGATCCCGACCGATTTTGCGTTTCTTCGTGGGACGATTTGTGTCGAGAAGCCAGTCGTCCTCCATGTCGACGTCTTGAGTCTCCGGCTCATCAACTTCCATGATAGAGATATCGTCCTTGACATCCCAATCTGCGCAAACGATCTGAAGGTCATGCAGGGAGACACCGCCAGGCAAAGTATCATCAACGTCCGTATCGTGCTCGAACTCCTCTCGAATCTCCTCCTCGTCCTCCTGCGCAGCCTCCAGAATCGTCACCAAGCCCGAATGCTCGGCTTCATGCGGGCGTTTGAAGACCTGGCCTGCGGCCTTGAACACTCGCTCCTGGTCCTGCGCCAACTCAATGTTGACCTTACTCGGGATCACCGGTTTCGGAGGCTTCAGCGGCTGCTTGCCCAGGAAGAAGGCCTTCTTATGCGGAATCAGCTCGAGGAACCGGGGTAGAGCATTCCGGTCAAACGTGGGGAACAGCGAATGCAGCAGCTCCTCGACGTTCTCCGGCGGAGCAGGCGGGTTGTCCGGCCCGTACGCCGACATGGCGAACAGCTGCTGCTGGAGTTTCCACGCCCGCAGCGACGCGGGATCCATATCCTCCGCCGTCGGACTCAGCGCCTCATCCTCCTGCAGAAGATCCGCCTCGTCTTCATCCATGGGCGCCGCCGCCGCGGGCTCCTGTGATAGAGAAGGCACCGGCGCCTCCATTACCGGCTCCGCCGCCGCCGCCGTTGCTGCTGCCTCCACCGACCCCTTCACTACCGGTCGTGCTTCATCGGTCGCCGCTGCTGCCGTCGTCTCCTCTTCCTCATCGAAGAACAAGTCTCGCGTGGGATCCGCATGATCCGCGCCCGGCGAGGACGGACCCTCGCCGAAGAGATCGTCCAACTCATCGCGGGGGCCTTGCTGTGTATCATCCTCACCCTCCCGGCCGGCAGCACCAATATCATCCTCTTCGCCGCCGCCGCCACCACCAAAAAGATCTTCGTCTTCCCCGCCAAAGAGATCCTTGTCTGCGTCTTCATCGCCGAGATCCATCATGCCATTGTCGTCGTCGTGGTCGGCAGCAGCGGAAGGGCCCGTCCGCTCTTCTTCTTCGGGAAGCTCATCGTCGTCGAAATCCTCGTAGTCCACGGCGTCGTCGGCCTTCTCGCCGGGTTCCAGATCGCGCGACAGGAAATCGAAGGACATGGCGCCGTCCCCGAGGGGGCCGTTCATCTGTCGCATCACATTTTCGAAGACCGAATCTTCTGTCTCGGGGACCGGGGGCTCGGTCGCATGAGGCATTTTGACGGCGAAAGTGTGGTTGTGATCGTGGGTGTTGCTTTTTGAGAGAGAGAGAGAGAGAGAGAGAGAGTTCGGCTGGTGGGGGATGGAGGAGGGATGTCACGCGTTCGGGCGCATCGGGGCCGGCTCTGTCTACCAGAGATGGTGACCGACCTGGGAACGCGTAAAGATGTGTGGTGCGAGTGAAGGGAAATTGAAGGGGAAAGAGAAGAGAGGGCGGATCAAACCGACAGCTGGAAGATGGCACGGGGAATGCAAAGCGGCGAGAGGAAGAAGAGAGAGACTGAGAGAGACTGAGATGAGAGCCCGGCGGAGTTACACCGCCCTAATCCCAATCAGGAAAGCAGCTTACAAGTTTCGGGGCCTCGAGTCCTCGAGTCCTCCTCCCTATACTGCAATTCACACAAACGGTAAAGTGCTAAGGGGTATTTAATTACTTCTAACCAGACAATCAGACAATAATGTACAGTAAAGTGCAAGCCTGCGAGCATCTCCAAGCGGGGTGAGCTTTATCTCCGCATCACCTAGATAAACGCAGCCCCAACGAACCATTCTAGTGAAAACAAGAAAGAAAGCAAGAAAGAGTAAGTTAGTCACAGGCCGTCATTGCAGATTGAACCCACCATAATATACACAGAGGGCTTTGCTCGCGCCCTCCATGCAGTAATGCATCACCGTTGCATTCTGCCCTTCCTTGACCACCTTGGCCATCTGCTTCACATCCGACGTCCGCGGAAGATACAGAGCCATGTGCTCGGTGAAGAGTGAGTATTCATTGTATAACTTCGCCAACGAGTAAGGCTCCATCGTCCGGAGGTTGAAGACCTTATCCGACCGGTAGCCGGGTCCTACACCAGTTGTCAGTCAGTGACATGCCTGTTCTAAAATCGAAGGGGCATATAACCCACCTCCCCACGGCGGACTGGCGAACAGAACACTGTACGGGGCCAGATCCATCAATTGGTTCTTGATGATCTCGAAGCAGTCGCCCTCGAACCAGGTGATCTGGTCCGCCACGCCGTAGATCTTGGCGTTGTGTTTCGCGCACTGCAGGACGGCCGGGTTCTTCTCGATGGCGTAGACGCGCTTCCACCGGCCGGAGAGGGCAAAGGCAATGGAGTTCCCGCCAGCCCCGGCGAAAGCATCCACCAGGACCATTCTGTCCGCGGGGGCGGAGCTGGCCATATGCTCTGCGATTTTGCTACAGGGAGGATTGTTAGCTCTGAGCTTGCGCATTCGCATTCGCGGGTACGGGAATAACAATGCAAAACGTACTTGGCCACGGGCTCCGGAGTGACACCGAACCAGGCATCATCGGTCAACCACACCCCCTCGTCATACTTAGAGAAGATCTTGTATCGTTGAGCCCAATAACTGTGGGGGATGGAAATAGTTAGTTAGGTTTGAGATGCATGCGAATTATGATGACCGGAGAACTGACTTCTGGATATCCCACGGCACTTCTCCGAGCTCGTCGTAGTGATGCACCTCCGGCGGAGGCACATCTTCATTTGGATCGCGCGCCATGAAGCAGGGAGAGGGAAATCCCCGAGAAGAATCTCAACAGGTTCTGCTGCTTGACTCGATCGCAGCGCGGCGGCGCATTATTACCGACGACGGAGAGAGAAAGCAAGACCGATAAACCGGGGGCGATAAGCGATAAGTTCCAGACGGGCGGTGTTTGCGTTGTTTGTTTGAAATACATGGCCAGCCAGCATAGTTCCAGGTTACGGGGCATGATTCCTCCCTCCACGTTGCGCCCATCAACGAACAGCTTCCACTACATTGAGGTTGAGGACGAGACTGTACACCCCCGATCGCATCCAATCTTAGCCTTCTTACGGTCTACCTCTCCGCGCGACATGTTCGGCGCCTTCAACCGCTTCATCGGGCTGGAAGCCGAGCCAGCTCAGCAACCCCGATCGTCGACCGCGGACAACTCCTTTGGCTTTCAGGTACTCCGCAACAAGGACCCGGAGGTGCCCCTCGAGCCGTGGTTTGATTTCATCATCGGGATCAATGGACGTTTGATTGTACGTTTGCTAAGTATACTTGGCCGTATGTCTAATCTTCTCCTAAACTAAGCCCTCCTCCACTTGCCAAAACACAGGAAGACCCAGACCCTCACCTCTTCGCAACCGAAGTGCGCAATTGCGCCGGCTCCAGCGTAACCTTTGAAGTCTGGAGCGCGAAAGTAAGCCCCCCAAACCATTCTCCCTTCGAACCTCATAAACAATCATCAGTTCAAACCTCACCTAACCACCTATACCACCTCCCCAGGGCCAAAAATCCCACAGCGTCTCCCTCCCCGTCCCCGCAACCCCAACCGGAACCCCAGGCCCAACCCCAACCCTCGGCCTAGCCGTGCAACTGGCCCCGCTCTCCTCGACGCAAAACATCTGGCACGTGCTGTCGATCCCCTCGCCGCTGAGCCCGGCCTACCGGGCGGGCCTCCTGCCGCACTCGGACTACATCATCGGCACGCCGAGCGGCACGCTCCGGGGCGAGTCGGCGCTGGGCGAGCTGGTCGAGGACCACCTGGACCGCACCCTGGTGCTGTGGGTGTACAACAGCGAATTTGACGTCGTGCGCGAGGTCGAGCTGATCCCCACGCGCGGCTGGGGCGGCGAGGGCGCCCTCGGCGCCGAGCTGGGGTTCGGGGCCCTGCATCGGTTGCCGGTCGGGTTGGGGGAGGAGGTTGAGGGCCCCGGGGAGGTGGTCTTTGAGACGGTCCCGTCGGGCTCCCGAGGGGATGGGTCCGGGGCGCAGTTGGGGGGGTATGGTCAGCAACAGCAGGAGCAGCAACTTCAAGGGTACGGGTACGGGTACGGGTACGGGTACGGGTATGGGGATCAAGGGCAAGGGCAAGGGCAAGGGCAAGGGCAAGGGCAACAGCAACAGCAACAGCAAGAGCAACAGCAAGAGCAGCATCAGTTCCTCGTGCCGGCAAATCTGAGCTCCCCGCCTCCGCCGCCGATGGTGGGGACGCCAACGAATCGCGTGGCGAGTCCGGCGACGACGTCGACGGGGGCGGTAGCAGGTCATGGACGTTCCCACCGGAAGGCGAGAGCGGGGCCTAGTCCGTCGGCCTTTGATGAGTATTTCGCCGAGGGGTTGCAGAAGAGTAAAGAGTTGGATTATGCCCCGTCGAGTCGGAAGGGGACTCCCTTGCCGCCGCCCCCGAAGAAGGGTGGTAGTGGTGGTGCGGTGCAGAGCCCCCCTCCGCCGCCTGTAACGAGTGGCTCGCCGAGTCCCGCGGCGGAGTAAGAAGAGTACTAGTAGCAGCAAAGAATCTTTTATGTCTCGTTGTAAAGCATCGTGCGTTGAGTCTTTCGGAGTTGAAGCTGTCAGGGTCCGGTGGGGTCGGTCTGCCGATGAGATCCTCTTTTCTTGCCGTAGATGGCCCCGGATTGTTTACGGAGCTTGCCACAAGTTATGGGAGGAAGCTTGTCTAGAGTCGTACTTCTGAAATTCTAACCCTCTTAAAGTACACACATACACACAACCAGACAATAGACAGAGAGACGGAAGGAGGATAAGCTATGCCAGCAGTAGATATAAGAGTCCGGTAGGTAGAATCATCCCAATTCCACGGCCACAAGAAAGTCTTTCAACCAGCGCTTGGAGGTAAGGAAAAGGGGGAGAGAAGCAATATATCACGTCCGCTTCGAAGCAGAGAGAGAAGAACACAGGAGAAGGCTAAACACCAAGAAGTCAAGGCAGAGAAAGGTAGATTGCATTCTAGCAAGACAAAAGGAGCACCGCTTTAGTGGCCCTTGCTGACAATCTCCTCCAGCTTCTTGCGGGCCTCTCCGATCTTCTCCTCCATCATGGCGCGGCCCATGGCGCTGTGGGCGACACCGGTGTGGTAGAAGTGCTCGGCCTGCGCGCGGAAGCGCAGGTGCGAGTCGGCCACGACGGGAACCTTCTTCTCGTACTCCCAGACGAGGTCGGAAACGTTGCGCATGGTGACGGGCAGCAGGGTCCAGGCGGCCACGGTGCCGAAGGCGAGCGGGGAGGCAGTGCGGAGGATCAGGCCGCGGTTACGCGAGACAATGGAGCCGGCCATGGCGGCGACGACGACGTAGACGCCCCCGGGGAGGAGGCGCTCGCCCGACTCGGGCGAGGGGGCCAGCGAGGCAACGGTGTTGGTGAAGGCGTTCTCAATGTGCAGGGCCCGCGACAGGAAGTTGTTGAAGCAGGTCTCCACGGCCAGGGAGTTTTGGTATAGGAATAGACGGGCTTGACGGACCTGGGCCGTCAGGATATCTGTAGGGGTCGGGGAGGAGGTAGCGGAGGAGGTGGTGGGTGTGGCCGGGATGATGGACGACGAGACGGCGGCGGGCGTCGAGGGAGTGGGAATGTTTCTGGTGGTCGGAATCTCGTCCTCGTAGTCATCGTAAATGGGTTTCTTCTGAGTAAGAAAGAAGAGAACAGAATATCGTCAGACTACCATTGCTGTGACTGCAGTCAAGTTCCATGATATGAGACGGAAGGTCGTACCAGGTCCCGGGGCTCTTCTGCAAAGGCCGTCCGCCGGGGATAGAGAGCGACTCCTCCAGCCAAAAGAGAGGCGGCGAGGGGAGCCACAGCCCGCTGTTTTGAGGCGGTTAGTGAAGGGATTGGAGCTTATGAAGAATTGCATTTCGCACCTGTTGGAACATTGGCCGAAAAGACATGGTGCAGAGAGGCCAATGGAGGAGGGGATGGAGGAGGAGGAGGAAGGTCGGAGGGAAGTTGGATGGATGAAGTTCAGATCGGGAATGACGGGAGGTGAACCTTGAAGTTGCCAAGCGGGTTTTTTCGCTCTCCCGTCGCAGCGGCGGCTCGGCCACTCCTCCGTCATCCCCCGTTGATTTCCTTTCCCTTTCCTTTTCCTTTGCCTTTGCCTTTTGCCTTTTCCTTTCAGCCTCTCCCCTTCTTTCTCCGCTTCCCCTCCTCCTCCTCCTCCTCCTCCTTCTCGGCTCTTCCTTTCTCCACATACACCTCTTATCTTTGTCTGTCCCTCTCTCTCTCTCTCTCTCTCTCTCTCTCTCTCTCTCTCTCTCTCCTCTGCTCTATCTCTATTACCGTCCACCACTCCTGTCTCATTTTGATCATCATCATATTACCTGCTCGTTCTCCACGGTATAAGCCGATCCTGATGTCGGAACACCATCTACAAGCCACTCACTCGCCCTAATCCCCGCTTATCCCATCATGGGGTCGCCTCACATGCTCATGCCACTGCGGCGGCGTCCGTGGACTTGTCGCACGTGTTTGTCCCAGGCCCGACGCTCACTGAAGACGGCTGCCGCCCACCGTCCCGCTAGAGACTACACACCCACCACGAATCACCAGAAGCAAATCGAGGACGAGACTCTCCGTCGCGTGTTCGATTCGCAGCCTTTCTGGCGGGAGTTCTCTCAGAGCAGTGCTGCCCAGTTGAAACCCACCGGGCTGGTTCAAAACCAATACCTCACCAGCCCAGATGGCTTCCGCGTCTTCGCTACCTCCACCCTGCAGAAATGCCAGGCGATCGTCACCAAAGTGCTCGCCGCCTCGACCGTGAAGGAATACCGGACCATGGCCCGTGATCTCGACCGACTCAGCGATCTGCTGTGTCGGGTGATCGACTTGTCGGACTTTATCCGGGTTATTCACCCGGATCCGCAGGTGCAGGAGGCGGCCACGCAGGCATATGCGCTCATGTTTGAATACATGAACGTTCTAAACACGACCACGGGCTTGAATGATCAGCTGAAGAAGGCAGCTGCCAACCCGTGGGTCACGTCACATTGGTCGGAGGAGGAGAAGATTGTGGCGCAGATCCTTATCAAGGATTTCTCTAACTCAGCCATTCATATGCCTCCGAACGAGCGACAGCGGTTCGTCAACCTATCGACAGAGGTCAGCCAGCTAGGATCAGCCTTTGTCAATGGCGCCGAACCGGCCCGGGCTAAAGTGTATATCGAGGCCAACAACCTGCGCGGCTTGGACCCCCTGCTAATACACAAAATGAAGCGGTGGACGACTAGCGCCGTACCCGTGCCGACTATGGGTCTCATCCCGCGATTGGCGCTGCGATCGGTCAACATGGAGGACGCCCGCCGAGAGATCTACCTGGCTACGCGGACGTCGAGTCGGAATCAGATCCAGGTTTTGGAGAAGCTGCTCACGAAACGGGCGGAGCTCGCGCAGCTGTCCGGCTTCGAGAGCTTCGCACATATGACGCTCCATGACAAGATGGCCAAGAGTCCGGAAGCCGTGGCCAAGTTTCTGACGGCCCTTGTCGGCAGCAACCGTGAACTCGTCAAGGAGGAGCTCGCGAAGCTGCAACGCATGAAGGGCGCCAGTCCACTGCAACCGTGGGATCACGCGTATTATGTGCACCGACGGGTTCAGCAGTATGCAATCTCGCCCCGGTCGCGGGAGTTGAACGCAGTACCCGAATTCTTCTCGCTGGGCACGGTGATGCAAGGCCTGTCTCGCCTATTTGAACGACTGTATGGAGTACGGTTGGTGCCTCGGGAGACGGCTCCCGGTGAGACGTGGATGTCGGACGTCCGCCGCTTGGATGTGGTCGACGAGTCCGGCCGACACCTTGCGGTCATTTACTGCGATCTGTTTTCGCGGCCCAACAAGCATCCGAACCCGGCCCACTTCACTTTGCGGTGTGCGCGGGAGATCTCCGCCCAAGAGGTGGCCGAGTGCGCGACGGTGCTGGATTCGTCGGCGCATCCCAACGACGGCATGGCGACGGCGATTGACTCGAAGAGCAAGACGCTCCGCCAGCTCCCCACAATCGCTCTAGTGTGCGACTTTCCCGAGCCCCCCGCGACGGGAGCGGGACGCCCGGCTCTGCTGACTGAGCACAGTGTGCGCACGCTGTTCCACGAAATGGGACATGCGTTGCACTCCATTCTCGGACAGACGCGATTGCAGTCCATCTCGGGAACGCGCTGCGCGACCGACTTTGCCGAGCTGCCCTCGGTGCTGATGGAGCATTTTGCCATGGCACCGGAGGTGCTGTCGCTGTACGCCCGCCACTGGGAGACGGACACCCCGCTCTCGGAGAGCATGATGCGGAGCATGGCCAAAGAGCGGACTGCGCACGCCTCCGTCTATGGTGCTGTCGAGAACGAGGCCCAAATCCTCATGGCGCTCGTGGACCAGGCTTACCACACGCTGCCGGCGAATCGGCCGATCGACAGCACGGCACTCTACCATGAAGTGGCGACGACCCATTCCAGCCTGCCCGATCCCACGGACACGCTGCCGCTTACTTCGTGGCAGGGATTTTTCGGCCACTTGTATGGCTACGGGGCCACCTACTACAGCTACATCTTCGATCGGGCGATCGCCAATAAGATCTGGGAGGACGTGTTCCGCGGAGGCAAGGCGGCGGTGGAGCGAGACGCCGGCGAGCGGTACAAGAAGGAGGTACTCCGCTGGGGTGGTGGACGCAATGGGTGGGAGTGCGTGGCTGGAGTCTTGGGCAGCCGGAACGCGGCCAACGCGGATGGGCGCTTGGTGGAGGGCGGCGACGAGGCGATGCGCGAAGTCGGCCGATGGGGGCTGGGGCGCGATGGAGTGTCTGGGTGAAGTATGTATATATATCAGGTCATCTGTATACTACGCTAGACGGACATGCATAGAGCTGGTGCTAAGGTTGAAGTCTCACAGGGCTCCTTTTTTTTTTCTTTTTTTTTTTCTTTCTTTTTTTGTTTCCACCCCGGCCAGGCGTAACGGTAGCACGGCAGCACGGCATTTAACGCCACGAGGACGTTGAACGGTCTGGGTCAGCACGGATGCTACTGTAGAAGAGGAGGTCTGCATGGATGGTAGCTTGAGGAGGGAAGAAGATTGGGGGAGGTAAGGAGGGTGAGTTTAATGAGATTCCTGGGAATGAGGGAGAAGGAGAGGGAGAGGGAGAGTTGAAGCTAGGGCTGCATGTCTCAGCATCAGCTGTAGACTAGCTGGAGACTACCAGTACTGCCATGCATGTACTTTTGGCTCTTATCTTTCCTCCTCCTCTCCTCTTCTCTAAGTAATAGTTAGTTACTATATAACCCGATCCAACCCGTCATCCCATCCCATCAGTGAAAAGAATGTCCCCTTCTTCACGTACAGTATTGCACAACATTAATGCCTCTCTCTCTCCAATATGCCTCCCCTCAACCCTACCCTCACAACAACTTCAACCTCATCCACCCTCCCCCCTCCCTCCTCCATCACTCTGAACCACAACCACCCCTCCACCTCCACCTCCCATCCCGATAAGTACCTGACCCCAAAGAGGAATCCCACTCTCCTCCGCCGCAAATCCACCATCCACCACCTCCGCCACTGGCTCTCGCAGCACCTTCCCAACCCTTCTTCTCCATCCCCGTCCCCATCCCACCCCCCGAAACTCCTCCCCCGCTCCAAATCCCTAAGAAAACCAACCTACCATCGCTCCCCTCCGCCTCCTCTCCAATCCCAGAGCCCCCGAGACCTACAACACCAGCCCTGCAAACCCGAAACCGACACCGACACCTTCTCCACAACCATCTCCACCAGCAGCTCAAGGTCATCCTCCCCGACCCCGTCCACGAAACACCTGAATACGGAGTATGAGGCGTACTGCCGGGCGTTTTCGTCGGGGTTGACGGCCGAGAGTTACGCCTACACTAAGGGATCTGCCCCGGTGAGGTATGGAGACGATCGAGGGGATCAGGATCAGGATCAGGATCAGCATTACCCTCATGCAGAAGCTGCAGCAGCTGCTGCTTCTGCACGCGCAACAAAAGCAAATCCAGGCCTAGAGCTCAACACCACCACCACCACGGAGAAACCAACCCACCTCCACGCGCGAACAGGGTCACCGGGCAGAAATGCGGACGCAGACACGAACACGGAGTCTGCATACGAAAACGCAAACGCAAACGCAAACACAGCCCAGATCCCCATCCCTGCTTACAGCACCAGCTACCACCGACCAAACGGGGAAGTTGCAGCAGCAGCAGCAGCAGCAGCAGCAGCAGCAGCAGCGCAGCCCACCCGCTCCACCACACCAAGAACCACAACCACAACCACAACCAGAACCAGAAGAAAACGACCATGGCGAATCGACGAGATCCTTCGACCGGAGGATGTGCGGATGTTGTCGGGGGGGTATCAGCACCATCACCACCACCACCACCACCACCACCACCACCACCACCAAAACCAAGACCAAGATCACGACCACCGAGCTCATCACCCGCAGGATCGACACGATCGTCATGACTATAGGGATAGGGATAGGCATAGCGATGCTGAGCCCGAGGGAGAGCCCGAGGGAGTAGATCCTCCCGATGATACCACCACCAACATAACCCCGAAGAACCATAACCACACCGGTACCCACATCAGTAATGCCGATAAAAGCAAAGACATAGAAATGTCCTACAGCCACAACAACAGCCACAACCCGGATACCAACAACGAAAGCAATACCCTCAGTGCCCACCCTCACCCTCATATCGCCATCGCAACTACCACCCCTACTAATACAAACATCACTAACGAAACCACCACCACCACCACCACAAAACCAGACCCCGAAGAACCCCTAGAACCAGCAGCACCCATCTTCCCCCCCACAACAATCCACCCAACCAACCCAACCACTCAAACCCAGGAGATCCTGCACTGGCTACGACACCGCTCCTCCCTCGACTCCCTCGATAGACAAGGCCAAGGCTTCGAGCAGCATCGATACCTCCACGAAGGAGTCGACACAGACACCGACGCAGATACACACACACATGCAGAGACACATGCTGCCGCTGCCCCTGCCGCTGCCCCTGCCCCTGCCCACTGGCACCTCCATCCCCCCCGCCTCTCCCCGCCGCTCCGCGTCCTCACCCCGGCACGATATGAACAGCTCCGCAAACACACTACACAAAAACAACCACCCCGAAAACATTGGTGGGGGGCGGTGCAGAGCTATTGGGCGCGAATGCGGCCACGAAGCGAGGCGGCCAGGCGGGAGGCGAAGAGGGAAAAGCAGGAGGCCGACAGGTAAGAGACAGGATAAAACCTACGGTGCAATTTAGGCCTTACAACCTCTGGCGTTGTCGTTGTGTGTCACCCGCACGGCAAACAAGAAAAAAACAAAAAAAAAGTCCAATCCAGTCGGGAATGAAATTGCCGGGTGTGGATGGCTTTTTTGCCTGCTGCTTTTTCCTGTGCAACCACACTTACACGTCCAATGGGATCCCCTGGAGAGGGGCATTGTAGAACATGGGGAGAGTCACAAGAAAGAAAGCGGAGAACAGGGGTATCCTGAGTATTCTATTACATACAGCCTAGGCCAATACAACGATAATGAAAATTCCTCTTCGGGACATCATACGACAAAGGAAATAGGGTCATCCTCCCCCGAGCCCAGAGTCTTCTCTCCCCGTTCACGAGGATCCTTCCTCAATCCCTTGCTCGTCCGAACTGCTGCTCGAGCCGTTCGCCTTCTCGGGTTGCGGTGTCGTCGACTGGCTCGGAGGGTTGGGCGTCGCCCGACGAGACAACTCGGCCAATTCGCCAAGGATTCTGAGACAAGTCTGGTCAGCAGGTGCATCGGCCAAGTATGGGAAGAAACTCTTACCGTCGGTGCTCGTCATACCAATCATCATTAGTGGTACGGATGTGTTTAAGCTGCTCTTGGATGCTGGCCATCTATACATGCCAAGAAAATCAATCAGTCACTCCATGTCGGTACATACATTGGGAACGGGCGTAGTCATGTGAAAGGGTGGAAATGGGGCAGTCCCGTAGGAGAGGGAGATGACGATAAACGGGGAGATCCCACCGTTCCCTGAATAGATGAACCAAGGTCCTCACCTTCGACTGCGGTGGAACCACCATCTTCTCTGGCAAGGGTCTCTCCAGCCAACCGGCTGCCGTCCAGGCCAACCGACGAGCCCTTGGCACTGTCCCTCTCGGCCTTCAGCGCCGCCACTTCCGCCTCCAATTCCCGCGTGCGCTTGCGGCTGGCCGAGATCATCGAGTCGACTTCTCCCAGCTGGTTGAGGAGCGACATGTTCTTGTCAATCTGGCTGTTCAGGTCTCGTTCACCTTGAAGGACGCGCTCTTCCATGCTCCGGTTCTGCGAGCGGAACTGCTCGAGCTCGCCCGTCAGAGTCTCGTGCTGGCTTTTGAGTTGCGACAGTTCGTAGTTGGATGCGGCGAGCTGTTGCAGGACCGCCTCCAGCTCCGTCCTTGCGCTCTGCGAAGCAACCAAGGTCTTCTCGAGCTCTTCGGCCCGCGCCGACACGGCTTGGTGCTTCTCTTCCAACTCGTGTTTCTCGGCCTCGACCTTGGAAAGATCGGCGCTGTGCTTGCCAGCGAGCTCACCACTCACCGCAGCAGACCGCTCGGCCTCCGTCAGTTGGTTCTGAAGGTCGGCAATGGTCAGCTTCAGGCTCTCCAGAAGAGAAGCGTCTTGGGCAGCAGCTTGAGCCTCCACGAGCTGAGCGTGAACTTCCGCCAGGGTCGCGTCATGCGCATTCTGTAGCTCTTCAATCTTAGCCCGGTTCGTGGACTCGAGGTCAGCACGGAGGTTGGAAAGCTTCTCCTCCTGGATCGTCAGGAGCTGCTCAATCGCCTTGCTATGCTCTGCATCCGATTCAGCAGCCTTGGAGGCCTGGCTGGCCTGCAGCTCGGCCTGGAGTTGTTTGTGGGTTTCCTCGTGCTGCTTCTGGAGCTCCGCGATTTCCTGGGCGCGAACCTCAGCCTGGGAGGTGATCTCGTTGGCATGGCGCTGAAGGGCCGTGTTGAGCTCGGCCTGAAGAGCTTCCATCTGCTGGGCGTGTCTGAATTCCAGGTCACGCAGAAGAGCCACGGATTCCTCATACTTGGCCTGGAGCTCACCAAGTGCCTGCTCCCGGTTTCCAGAAACGTCCGTCCGAGCCTTTTCAAGCTCGACAGCATGTTCAGCTCGGATAGATTCGAGGGTCTGCGCGTGTTGTTCGGCAACAGCAGCGGCCTCTTTGGCCTTACCTTCCAGCTCCTTGCCGGCAGCGATTGCAGCTTCCTCCAAAGACTTCAACTGGCTCTGCTGCTGGGCATCCTTAGCCTTGGTCTTGTCTTCGAAAGCGTCCAGGCTCTGCTGAAGGGCCTCAGCCTGTCCCTGCTTGGTTTGAATCGCATCCTGGAGGGACTTGATCTCACCCTGGCCGGTAGACAGCTGCGATTCGAGGGCACCGACCTTCTCTTTGAGAGACTCAATTTCCTGAATCGCTAGGTCCTGAGCCGAGTTCGCACCGTCATCCAAAGCCTGTCGGACCTCAGTGAGATTCTGCTCCGTGGCCTCCAACCGTTGCCGGAGGGCGTTCAACTCAGCCTGATGCGCAGCATCGAGTTCGGCGAGCAATTCCTCGCGGTCCTCCTGCGCCGCTGCAGTGGAGGCTTCGTAGGCGGCTTCAGAAGCCTGAAGTTTGTCCCGGAGCTCCTGAAGTTCTTGAGAGTGGGTGGTGCCGGCGGACTCGACCGCCTCCTTGGCAGCAGCAAGCTCTTGTGCATGGGCAGCAGCAGCAGAAGCGAGCGCTTCCTCGTGCTTCGCCTTCAGTTCCGCGATGGTGGCAGCATGAGAGGAGATGGTCTCCTCATGTTCAGATTGAAGTTTAGCGACTGCAGCCTCGTGAACGGCTTCGAGCTCCTTGGCTTTCTCACCCATGTCGGTCTCCGTGGTGCTGCGCGCCTCAGAAAGTTCAGCCTGCACCTTCTCGAGTGCTTCTTGATGCTCGAGTTGGAGCTTGGCGACTGCGGCCTCGTGAGCAGCAGTGAGCTCTTTCGTTCTCTCGCTCAAGCTAGTCTCGGTGTCGTTGCGCGCCTGCTGAAGCTCGGCCTGGACTTTATCGAGGGTCTCTTGATGCTCAGACTGAAGCTTGGCAACCGCAGTCTCGTGTGCGATCTCGAGCTCCTTAACCTTTTCTCCCAGGCCGGACTCGGTGTCATTCCGTGCTTGATCAAGCTCAGCCTGCACCTTCAGAAGAGTTTCTTGATGTTCGGACTGGAGCTTGGCGATCGTAGCCTCGTGGGCAGCCTCAAGCTCCTTGGACTTTTCGCCCAAGCCGGCCTCGGCTTCCTCGCGTGCCTTCTGGAGCTCGGCCCGCACCCCTTTGAGAGTTTCTTCATGCTCGAGCTGGAGCTGGTTGATGACGGCCTGGTGTTGAGCTTCAAGCTCTTTGGCCTTCTCCCCCAAGCCGATCTCGGTAGCGTCGCGTGCCTGCTGCAGCTCAACCTGCGTCTTTTCCAGAATCTCCTGATGCTCAAACTGAAGTTTGGCAGTTGCGGCCTCGTGAGCTGCTTCAAGCTCCTTGATCTTTTCGGCCAGTGCAATCTCCATAGACTCGCGGGCTTGTTCAAGTTCACCCTGAGCTTTGGTGAGGGCTTCCTTCAGGTCGGCGATTTCTTGATCCTTCTCAGCCAGACGGGCAGCCGTCTCCTCACCACTTTGGTCAGTGACAGATCCAGCTTCAGCCAGCTTGGTTTCGAGCGAGGCAACCTTGTCCTCCAGGGCAGCAATGGTTTGCTTGGCAGCCTCCTCAGCCGCCCGAGCCTCTTGTTGCTTGGCATGGTTCAGGCGATCCATCTCCATGTGCAAGGTTTCCACCACTTGGTCCCGACCGTTCAATTCTCGCTGAAGATCGTCAAGTTTGGTGGCCTTGGCTTCTAAGGCTTGGATGACCTCCGCGTATTGGCTCTTCTGCAACTCCAGCTCGGCCTTCAAGGTATCGAGTTGCTCGGCGTATCCGGCAGCCGCAGCCTTTTGCAATTCCAGCTCCTTCTCAATCGCTTCCAATTGAGCCTGGTGAGTCTGCTTGAGTTCCTCCAAGGCACCAGCGGTCTCATCGTCTCCGGCGGCGGCAGCTTGCTGGGCCGCCTCCTCTAGATCCTTCAGAGACTTTTCCTCGAGCTCCTTGTGCTTGATCTCTGCTTCTTCGAGCTGGACCCGCAGGGCCTGCAGCTGCTCCTCATGCGTGGCTGTCAACTTCTCGATCTCCGCCGTATGCTGCTCTCGGAGCGCTTTGGTGGCCTCGTCAAGATCCTGGGTGGCAGTCTCATTCGGAGCCAACGATAATTCGGTCAACTTGATGTTGACCGTGTCCAGATCTGCCTTGAGTTTAGACACCGTGGCTTCACTCTCTGACAGCTGGTTTTGCAGGGATTGGATTTTCTCCGCATCCTCTCCGGCACTCTTGGGAGCAGTGCTTAGACGCTTGGTCACAGTGGATGTGGCGGGCTTAGAGACCAAGGAAGAGGGACGGGTGGTTGGGCGTGCCGTGGTGGATGAGGAGGTGGTCGGGCGAGAGGTCGACGTAGCGGTGGGCGGCCTCGCGAGTGGCTTCACGGTGGACGCTGTACTGGGCCGAGAGGTGGAAGCTCTCTTCTCGGCCGTGATAGAGCCCGCAATGCTGGAGCGTCGATCCAAGGTGGAAGTGGTGGACTTGACCGGGGCCCTAGTGGCCGGAGTACCTGCCAGCGACATGCGCTTGGCTGCACTAGAGATGCCTCGCTTCTCGTCTCCGGAACTAGCCACCGACCGGGACTTCTCGTCTGCGGAACTGACGGATGCGCGAGACCGGTGCAGGCTTGTGGTGGTGGAAGTGCCGAGGGGCTTGCGCACAGTGGTCGTACTGGTCGGGCGGGTGGGTGGCTTGTTCAGGGTGGTACCATTGGTCGTGGCGGTGCGCGAGGTCGAAGTTGTAGTCTTGGGAGGTCCCGAGACCGAGCTGGGCCGTTTCGTAGCGCTATTCGTCCCCGAGAGCGGACGTCTAGTGGTTGTAGTGCTTGTTGGGCTCTTCTTGGCCGGCGATGCCTTGACATTTTCCTTGTCTCTGGAGGCCTCGGGGCTTGTCAGGGGTCCCTCGCTCCCGGAGAGGATGGTTGCCTCGACGGGAGTCGCGGGGGGCGCGATGTCGGCCTCAAGCTCAGCGGGAGCGACAGGGGCGACGGGATCCTCAGTGGAAGCCATGATGCGGTGTGGGAGGAGGTCGCGAGTCGTTGGTCAAAAGGGGGTGGGCACCACGAGCTTCTTAAAAGGGGAGGGAGAGAGAAAGTTCTCAAGTGGGGAGTCTAGCGAATTGACAGTGTCCACGTTAGCTCGGACAGCGAAGACAAAATAAATTGAGGGGGGGGAAGTAGAGTGAACAATGCTAAAAGGGACAATGCAGATGATACAGCTCCAGTTGTCAAAAGTGGAAAGAATAGTCTAGCCACAGTCGCCAGACAGCACCAGATCACCAAGGAAAATAAAGGCAAGAACGCAAGCCAGTGAGGTTGAATGTTTTCATTTCCCTCAATCCGGCGGAGGGAGCAGCGACGGGTAGCCGAGGCGGATCTCCTTTTTTTTTTAGCCCTCCAAACTCCGGGGGGAGGACCCAGGCGGAGGAGAACAGGCGAGACAAGCGCAATTTGCGCAACCAACCTAAGCGGACTTCTCTCAATGGCAAGGAGCCCTGCTCCGACAATTGACCGGAAAGAAATGATATGATAATGGAGGAGGAGGGAAAGGGAATGGTAGGAGGAGTTCGTGCTTCTGCCGCGGGCATGGCTAGTTGGGACTGTACTTACCGAGAACTGGAAGTGGTGGGAAGTACCTAGTATCAACCACAAAGAGTACCAAAAGGTGGAACAAAGGGGCAGGTGAAAAGAGAAAAAAAAAGAAGAAATAAATTATAGTATTACAAAAGTAAGTAAGTACAAGAGAAAAATAGACAGAGAGAGATGAAGGTGGAGTGATGAGAGGATTGTCAAAATGGAAGAGAGGGATGGGGAGAGGGAAAGAGAAGAGGAAGGGAGGGAGAAAGAGAGAGAGAGAGAGAGAAAGTGAAGTAGAAGAATAGGAGAGGAGAAGAGGAGGGGAAGGAAGGAAGGAAGCTGTCTACCACACCACCACCTGTATGTAGGTACTGCCAGTACAGTCAGTAACTTACTCAAGTACATACATAGTACATTGGAAAGCTCCCCTCCTCAGCTTTTCCCCTCCAGCTCCCCCTCCCCCTCCCCCTCCCCCTTCCCCCCCAGAATGAAGCTCCCTCCCAATTAGAACCAAAAGCCAGTCTCCTCCCACCCTGCCAGGTGCACTATTTAAATGTTAGCACGGCACTGCAATGTATACCTTACCTCCCAGCCAATCTCAGCTCGTCTCCAGAACAACATCGTGTCATTGAGTTTCTGACAATATCTACATTGAATTGAATCTTTTCACCTCTTCGGGTCAATTGTTTGTTGTGGATCAATCCCCCCTTTCTCCTTTCCCCGCTATCCAGAACAATGTGATCCATGGTTACATCCCAGGCCCGTGGTTGGAACTCAACACCACACCACCACCACCACCACCACCACCACCACCAATGAGTTTAAAATTACCGCGAACCTGGGATGTTTGTCACCCACTCCCATTTGTTCCGACCCTCCTCCGTCGTCAACTCCTCTCCGATCTCCGACATATACTTCTCATACATTTCCTGAGCTTTCTTGCGAAGATCAATGATCCCGCGCTTCGAGAGCCGCCGCCGAAAATCCCCCATAATCAACTTATACCGGTTGCTCGATTTCTCTACAAGATCGTCTCGTCAGCCTCAATCTAGAATGTCCAATCAGGGTGGGAAAGCACTTACCGGGATAATCCTGCAGTCCCTGGCGAAGAGCATCCTCCTCGTCCTGCGTCCATGGGGTCAGGTTGCCCCGTGGCTGCCCTTTCTTTTTCGCGGGGGGCGGGTGTCGTGGCGCTTTCTTCACTAGGCCATAATTCATAGCCTGGACGAGCTTTTCGAGGGCGCGACGAAGGCCCGACTCAATGCAGCTCGGTTCATCGCCCAAATAGCCAGAGATCGAGTCAACCCATTGAGCCCACTCGGCAAGCGTAGTCAGGTGATCACGAAGGTTACCATACGCCTCATTGAAGAGATTCTCGTGTATATGGTAAATCTCATAGCAGAGGAACACAACCCGCGCCATAGGCGGGATTATCTCTCTGTAGAAGGCCCGCACCAGGGCCACGCCCTGCTTCTTGTCGGCCCGGGTACTACCTGCCTTGCCCAGATTGAAAACCTTCTGGAGCAGCTTTTCGTGCTTCTCGTTGGCCTTCCTCAGGAGTCGACCGCAACGTGAGACTTCATTGTCAGAGGGCCCTTCGCCACCCTCGGAGCGTTCTACGAGGTTGTTGTAGAGCGCGATCATCGACCAGATCGATTTTCGGATCGAGTCGAGCTCAGTAGTTCTGTATGACTGACTCAGTCGCGTCGATTTCCGACCTTGCCTGATGATAGCCTTCCAACTTTCCTTTTGGCCGTCTGCCTCGGACGCTTTCACGAACCACGGGCTGTCCGGTAGGAAATCCGATTCCTCGTCCGAGCTCTGGCTGGAACTGCTATCTTCATTCGATTCACTCTGCGGATGTTGATCAACTTGAGAATCGGTGCGTCCCGAATGTGGTGATCCAGGAGTCGGCTGTGCTACATCTGCCTGTGGGCGGGACGGGGGTGCTTGCACGGTTGGGGACGGGACAGCGGTCCGTCTCCGTTTTCTTGGGGTTGCAATCGGGGACGGTTCGGCCTTAGCAGAATGCACGCCAGAGTCGCCCGAGTCATTGCGGCTATCATTTGAATCAGCGGGGCTGTGTGCATCGTCTGCGGATTCTTCGCGGGTTTCATCAGGCATGTCTTGAATTGTTCGAGGTTGATTGCGAGTCCGTAAATGGCGCGATAGATCTGCTCCACCTTGGTATCTTGTAGTAACCAACTTGCTTGATCGTCCCAGCGGTGACTCTTTTCGACCTGAGGCTGATGCTCCGACAGCAAGGCTTCGCGGGTTGCTGGGAAGTGCTGCTTCTGTTGCTCGTGTTCTTCTTCGCTCTTTTTCGCCCAGAAAATTGGGACTGAGGCCCTTTTCCACTGGTATCGAAGCCTTTCCTCGCCGAGAAGTCTGACCCATAGTATCTGAGTTGTCATCGCCCGATGCTTCAATTGACAAGCTTTCCATTTCTTCATCATTATCGCTTCCAGCCTGAGAAAATGGACTTGTGGATTGGCGCTGGCTACTGTCCGATGCTTCGGAGGCATGCTCTTGCTCATCGCCAGAAAGATCCATGTCTTCGGCTAGATGTGAGTGAGCACTACTCGGCGTCGCCAGTCCTTTCACTGATTGTAGCTGCGACCCATCGTCATCTGCCACGGACGACAAACGCGAAGTATGCTGTGCAGGTCCAAGCTCTTGATCATTATCGGAGAAAAGATTCAACTGAGGTGGATCGTCTTCCATGGATCCCTCCTCTTGGAAATCAATCATCTCGGTGTCATCATCGGCCCTATGGGCTTCCTCGTCGCCAATGTCTGCAAGAACATTCGCATCTTCATCTTCCTCAGCATTGTCGTAAGCATCCTCACTTCCTTCCCCGCTATCGCTTTCCGCAACCCCGCCATTCCGTTGCCCTTTCCCTTCGGACGCAAGCACTCCGCTGCCATATTCGGGCACTGTAGTGCCTCGCAGTCGATTTTTCCACGATGGTTGCGCGGTGGGGAGTTTCGCTGGGAGTCGGCGTCGGGGCTCCGACGCCGGGGCCAATTCAGGGGATCGCGGAATCTCCCACAGGTCCTCACGTGACGGACGGATCTGAGCTAGAGTGATGCGACGTGAGCGGCGTGTAGGAGTATTCGGAGAGGTGATGTTTGATTTGGAGGGAAAGGTCTTGTGCATGACGGTGTTCAAAAAATCGACCGACTGCGTGGTGGAGTCACGCTTCCTTCGTCGCGACGCGGCGGATTGCGGAGATCTTGCCATGTTGAACGCCCATGGGGTTTGAACCTCAACGGTACAAGCGGATGCATTTCCTTCATAGCATTATGACTTGAAAATGAGGGGGGAAAACGAAAGTCAGCGTGAAATTTGCGGGGGTTGAATCGGGGAGGTGACTGACAGCTGAAGCTGCCTGCGGCTGCGGCTGCGCCTAGTCGGACCAAAACAATCGATAACACTCCGTACTACTAGTCCATCCAAGCGTCATCGACCGTTATCGATAAGTCGGCAGAGCAAACAACAGCAACTCCGCTGCCCGTCCGTCCCACCACAACCACGGCTTTCACGAGGGCAACGCAACCTGTTGGCGCAGCCCCCAAAATCTGATCTATCGAATTAGACAATTAGACCACCTGATCGCTGAGACTCATTCATTACTCGGACAAAGAAAACAGTTACATCAATTTCCAAGATGGCTGCAAACGGGCTGGTCCGTGTCTTGCCTGTCATTGACCCCTCCGCGGGACACAGCTTCAGGGAGCCCATCAAACGCATCCACGAGCACCAGGATGTGTCGGAGTTCCTGTGCTCCAAAGGCTATGTGGACATTATGACCTTCTTGCTGCAGCTAAACCGGTCCATGTTCCCCGCCAAATTGCCAGATGGGCGTGTCCAGACCTGGCCGGTGGGATCGGATGCGGTCGAGTACTCCGCGCCCGTCCGTCAACTACAGCAACTACTATCCAAGCTCGAAGCGATCCTGGAAGAAGCACCACCCGATAAGGGGCCCCGCAGATTCGGGAACATTAGCTTCCGCCGGTGGTATGAGATTGTGGAGAGCCGCGTCTCAAGCCTACTGGAAGAGTGCCTGCCCGCAGACCTTCTGAAGACTAAATCGTCCGACCCCGACGGCCCGACAGCAGAGGTAGAGCTGAAGGCCTATTTCCTGGGTAGCTGGGGAAGTCCCCAACGCCTGGATTACGGCACGGGTCATGAGCTGAGCTTTCTGGCCTTCTTGGGCGCCTTATGGAAACTAAACGGGTTTCCTCGGAACACCCCAGGGGTGGAGGAACGAGCTATCGTTTTGGGCGTGATCCAACCGTGAGTTCCATGTCCACTCAACGATCGATATCCTACTAAACCTGAATGAGCTACCTGGAACTCGTCCGAATCATCATCAAGAGCTACACCCTGGAGCCGGCCGGGTCTCACGGCGTGTGGGGATTAGACGATCATTCGTTCATTCCCTACATCTTCGGCTCGGCGCAGTACGCCCCGGCTCTTTCGCAAACGGACCAAGTACCTGATGAGGGCTCCCTGCCTGATGCACCTGACCCCAACGGTGTCGCGAAGGCGGCCGTCGTGGAACGGGAGCGACAAACAAACCTGTATTTCTCTGCTATTGGGTTCATCTACGATGTGAAGAAGGGGCCGTTCTGGGAACATAGTCCGATGCTCTACGATATTTCAGGCATCCGCACTGGCTGGGCCAAGATCAACAAGGTACTTTGGCGTCGGACCGAGCAGAATCATTGGCAACTGACAGCTGCTAGGGTATGATCAAGATGTACAACGCGGAAGTCCTGTCCAAGTTCCCCGTCGTCCAGCATTTTCCCTTTGGATCCTTGTTCAGTTGGGATCGCGACCCTAACGCGGTGCCCCCTCCGCCTACGGTGCATGCCGCTTCAGGGCCCCAGTCGCGACCCCAGGAACCTTCCACGCAGCATCCTGCACCGGGGACCACGGCGCCTTGGGCTGCCGGCTCACAGACAAGCCCCGCGGGTGGTGGCACCGCTGCACCCTGGGCTGGAGGCCCAGCAAGAGGCCCGATTCTCCCTGATACCTCACGGTTACCCCCGGGACCCATGGCGCCTACCCGAGCGCCGTGGGCGAGTGCCCAGCAAAGGCCGGCTCCGGGTGGACCGGCAGCCCAGGAGGACATGCTCACGAAGGCCCCTTGGGCTAAGTAAGCTGGCCATCTTCAAAAGTTCTACTGTCTACCATATACCCTTAGCATCAAAGATGCCCATTCTTACATCACGAACTTCAAAGTAGAAGGAATGCAGCCATGCAGTCATAAAAATCAACATGATATCAACAACCACCCAGGGTATCACGAACCACCAAAGTAACGCCAATGTAGAATATGCACAATGTAGAATCAATCAGAATCCGACGCGTAATCCACCAGCCCAGCTGAAGCCAGCGGCGTGGTCTCTGCCGTTCTCACAGGTTCACTGTCAGGCGTTGCACAACTTTCTCTCGCCTCCTCCTCAGCAAGCCGACTACTCGCAACAGTCCTCCGTCTCTTGCTCTCCGGGCGCCATTCACTCGAATCGCTACTGAGGAACGGATCCACAGCCGCGCGAGTATTACCCCTCAACTCAGTGCGAAACAGGGCCTTGCGGGTCTCCAACGCATCCGCGACCATGCCCGTCGATCGAGACGGCTTCCCCGGCGCAAACAACGGCTTCAGCCTGGTGCCAGTGGACATATCCCCCTGCCCGCCAAACTCCACCAAGCCGGCCCTAACGCGATCCTCCTCCGTCTCATCCACGACCTCAATCCCCAAACTCAACTTATCCCTCAGCAACTGCGTATCGGCCTCCTTCCTCTCCAACCCCTTCCTAACCTCCCGGAAACCCCTCCTCAACCGCCGCGAATTCTCATACGGATCCTCCCAATCCCTCGCCTGGCGCGCCTGCAACTCCAGGATCCTCTCCGTCTCCGCATCACCCCGTCTCTTATCCTCCACCTTCCCCTCCAACCTCGCAAACGGATCCACCTCATTGTTCCTCTGCCCATGCCCAGTACCCAACCCCCCCACCAAAATCTCGCCGCCCTCCCCCTGCCCCTGCCCCGCATCAGCGGCCCCGAAATCCCTCCGCCGGCCCCCTTCCACAACCACATACTCGGTATTCCGCGGGTCGGTGCGGATCTCAATCCACCCGCCGCAGGCGGCATGCTTCATCCGGAAACTGTACACGGGGGTGGAGTAGTACCGCCCCACGGGTTTCTTCTCGGCGTTGAACCGCACCCCCTGGCCGATCAGGGTCTCGTGCGGGCGGCACGTGGTGCACCAGACGGCGAAGGGCATCTCGAAGCGCACGGTGAGCGCGCCGGTCGTCTTGAGGTGGCGCGCGCGCGCCCCGAGCGGGTGTTTCTTGTGGAGCGCGTTGCCGGTCGTTGTGCCTTCTTGGTCCGGGGGGACGTATCTATCGCGGTGCGTCAGGAGTGAATATGGATAGGGAAAGGGGGGGTTGGGGTGGGTTGAGGGGTGGGGAGGGTGAACGGGGGGCTGAGGGGGGATAGGGTAAGACAAACCGTCCCATGTCTGTAGTGCGTTGTGGTTAGTGATTGCTGGTGATGATGGGCTGGTGAGGGGTGCGGCGGACTTACTGAAGCCTTGCATCTTGGAGTAAAAATTTCCCTTGAGGGGATCAAGGTTAGATGGTGAGTTGGAGAGGTGTAGATTGAATTCTACCGGGCCTGGTAGGCCGGCGCGATGAGGACGCGGGGGGGGATTGTGGTGGGGGAAGGCGTTGATAAGGAAGTATAGAGTGGCCCAGTGGGAATGGTGTGTCGAGGCGACCTGATTTTCTGCCACCGCCTGGATTGAACAGTTTCGATGCCTGATTTTCTGGACCTGTTCATAGGCTGGTGCCTGAATCTCTCTCGCGAGGTTGCAGGCGTTCTACCGGTCATGTGCCTAACAAGGCGGTGGGAGTTTAACCAGTTTTCCCGCCGAGTTTTGGCCGGCTGTTTTGACCATTATTCTGCCGATTTCGGGCGGTCAGAGGGAAGAGAGCAGTTTCCTGGCCTGATTTCCTGGGCAGATTGGATCATGCCTTATTTCTTCTTGTGAGGTCGCGGGCGTTCTGCCGGTCATGTGCCTAGCAGGGCGGTTGCAGGCGAGTCAAGTTATGCGGGTGTTGCTTAGTCGCCTTTAACTTACGTCTTGTAATGAATCTATTCATAGTTCCATCTATCACTCATGCGGAGACCTCTCACTCCTAATAGATTGATGCCAGTCCTGTTATCATCTAAGTATCTTCTTGATTTGTGATTTGTGAGTTAGTCTGGCATAGCATTGGTATACTGTTCGTCTCACATAGATGATCTTCCCAAAGCGTGGAAAATGTAGGTCTATCGGGGATATCTTCCTCTCGATCCTACGCATTATTGTTGAAAAGAGGAGTTTCCCCTCTGTACACTCAGCAATGCATGCATTGGAGATCCTGCGGAATCCAGAAAGAGAAAGACATAAAAAGAGGTATGTCAATTCCCCTTACTGCTTCGCACAACAAAAGAACCGAGCCCGAATCGAGTTTCATGGAGAGACTATCCATATAGACGACGGGCTCCTCCAGCCTCATCTCTCACTGCCGCATACAAAGAACGGCCCACTCGCAGAAAGGGTCCCCGAACTGAGAGCGTTGGTCTTGGGACTAACCGTCTCCAAAGCATATGGCACTGCAGTCAAATTCTACTATCCAAAACAAGCATTTCAGTCTTCTATCCACTACTACTAGAAATACCCATTGAAAATAGATACACCAAGATACTTTCTTCTCTCGCCTGCGATGTGATAGCTAGTGACCTGGGATCTGGGCATCCTCGACAGTAACTAGAGCAGAGTCCAGCCCTTACATCAGACAGACAGCGTAGCGTGACTGCAGTGAGTGTGACGTGCAGGCAGGCTACCTACCAGTCATAGAAGGAAGGCGCAACGCAGCTGCGGCGATCATGGGCCGCAAGTGCCCACTGAGGATATCCCCAACTTTACATCTTAGGAAGATTGCCCGTCCGGTACAGTACATTACATCAGAATCGAGCGCACTGCGGCGAGCAACTTAGCCACTACACCATATCGGATCTTGTTGTTAATGACTTGATTACAAAAGAATCATGGATCATGACGTAGCGGTGAATGGCGCAAAGGCCGTGGAGGACCGCTGGTGTCGTAGAATTGACGCTCCTTCTGTATCACTGCTAGAAGGGTCAATTTCTCATGCGGCTCGCCTTGTACTCTGCCTTCCATTTCTTGTTGCATCATTCATTATGGGTATAGGGCTGTGCATACCCAACTATACAGGCGAGGTCAGTCGGGCAGGACATGTAACAAAACTAAAAGTCTGACACTTCACAATGGCGTGTATAGTTCTCTAGCAATGAGGAGAGCAGGGGTCGAGCTTATGCTCAAGCTATAAGCTGTACAGGCTTTGAAAAAGTAGTACAGTATCCATTCACAAAGCGATTCATCTCACATAACAATGTTATTCATTCAATTCTATACACTACCCTAACCGCTCACTGAGTACTAGATCCCATCCTCACGAGGATCATCGCGTCTCCCTTTATCCCCCCCATTCAGATCCCACAGACTCCTGACCGTCACATCATGCACCCACTCCCCATCCGTCTCATCCGCCTGCACCACAAACCCCACGACCTTCTTCTGACCCGGCACCACCACAAACGAATTCTCCTCGAAATACCCCACCACCCCCTCCGGGTGCTCCAACCACGTATACAGCGCCACCCCGGCCGTCGCTTCGACCTCGAACTTCCCCGACTCCGCATCATACCTAACCCTCACCCGGGGATCAACCAGATCCAGGTCCTTTGGGAATGCGGGCGTGAACCATTGCTCATGGGTGAAGGTGACCTCCTCGTCGGTGTTCGGCAAGTACCCGGTGGCGGTCAGCTCCAGCGCGAGGATGGCATCCTCGTGCCGCGGCAGGGGCTGCTGCTTCATGTTCATCCGATACAGACGGGTGGAGTTGAGGGCGCCGACGTGGAAGGGAAGCGGCTTGGTGGGGAGGCCGCCGTTCGAGGCGATGGGCTTGCCCGACAGATCGCGCCAGGTAAGGATGACGCTCCCCGAGGCCGCCGCCCACAGGTCCGAGGTGACGTAGATGTCCAGGGCGCCGGTGGTATAGTTCCAGAACGGCGAGACGATCACGGGCTTGTAGATGTCGCGCGCCACGTAGTGGAGGACCTTCCAGCGGCCGCCGTACTCGATCCCCGCCCACGAGGGCGCCTGCCAGATGTCCTCGAGCTGCCAGTACAGGGACCCCAGCTGGCGCTCTGGCCGCCCGCTGCCACGCCGGTAGAACTGAATCTGCGACTTGTAGAGGTCCGCCTGGAAGAGCTGGGTCGCGTGGCACCAGGCGCTGAAGTTGGCCAGGGGGTCGGACGGGATGTTGGGCGTCGGGTAGTAGGCCAGCACGCCCTGGGTCATCTCGCCCATGCCGAGCGAGGTGTTGTGGTAGTTGTCGGTCATGAGCCCGCCCGCGGGGTAGTGGTGGTTGCGGAGTATGACGACGCTGCTGTTGAAGGACAGGTCGGCCGGGTCCGTGAGCGCTTGCTGCCAGGTTTGCAGGCTGGGCATGCTGTGGAAGCCGAACTCGTTGGCGAACCGGCCCACAGGATAGGTGCCGTAGTCGAAGGCGATACTCGCGTCGTAGTTGTAATGGTCCGTGTCGCCGTAGTATTCGCCCTCCGTGGTGTTGCTGTAGCGCTCAGCCATGGGGACGGGTGCGGAGAGGTCGATGTCCAGGTAGCCCTCGGTAGTGCTGCTGGGGGAGTAAGAGATGGACCGCGTGTTTTCGTAGACGAGCGGCAGGAAGAGACTGATGTATAGCTTTTCGTACTCGCCCACGTAAAAAGGGTACGACTCCGGATCGGCCGCCTCGACAAGCAGCAGCATCAAAGATTCGATCTCGTTGCCACCGGCCCATAGGGCCAGAGATGGGTGGTGGTTAACTCGTCGGACGTTGTAAACTACCTCCGCAGCAACGTTCTTCAAGAAAGCGTCGTCCGTAGGGTACAGCGCGTCGCTAAACTGGAATTCACTCCACAGAAGGATTCCCTTCTCGTCCGCCAGGTCGTAGATATAGTCGTGAAGGTATGCCCCGGAGGACCAGACGCGGAGCATGTTCTGGTTGCCCGCCACGACTGCATCGAACAACCGAGTCATCGTGTCCTCGGTAACCCGAGTCCAGAAGCAGTCAGGTGGAATCAGGTTTGATCCTTTGGCATAGAACTCATGTCCATTGACTTCAAAGTGCCAGTTCGCCCCAGGAGCGATCCCTTGCGCCAGCTGAGCGTCGGTGATATTGCGCTGATTGAGGAAAATCGTGCGGAAACCAGTTCGCTTCGTGATTTCAGCGATGGAGTGATTTCCCCCATCGGTAACCGAAATGGTCACATTATAGAGATTCTGCTCACCCAGGCCTTGCGGCCACCATAATTTCGGGTCAACTCCCTCCAGAACCGTGACACCCGTCACGGACCCCTCGATGACAGTGATGTTCGTCAGAGGCCGTGAAGCGAGAATCTCTCCGGACTGTAGATCTTTCACCTCAATCGCCATAGATGGGTTCTCTGGCAGAGAGCCCAGGTAGTCCAGACTAGCATTCACCACCCACGGCTGGGTCTGGTCAGGCGGGAGGTAGTTGATCTGTCCCAGCCGGTAGATATCTAGGTCCGTGTTGCGGACATACACCGGTGCCGCCTGTTTCAGCTGAACCACGTATCCAGGCTTCCAGGGTCCAGCCGGCGCAAATGCCGGACCCCAGTCCCAGCCAAAGTCCGACTGTTCCTTGCGCATGAACCACCGATTAGGATACTCGTAGGTGATCTGGACTCCCTCGGGCCATGCTAAACTATCATTAGCCTCTCATCCCCCATCAAAACAATCTTCAGGAGAAGCAAAAGGCACTAACTCGGCGAACTCGGGTCCTGTGCAATGGCATCCACAATATTTGGCGCACTGCCAAACTGAATACTCAAAGTTGGCTCCTCAGGACAATCTTTAAGAATGGAAGAGACATCGAACATGTACTGTCGAAACTGATTATCCGTCGCCCCGACGAACTGCTCGCAGAACGAGATCGAGGTGAACGTGTCCAGCCCGTCGAACACCAGCCACGTGGAATCATAGTCCTCTCCTCTATAGTAATCAAAGGTTCAGATTAGCCAGCTCAAATCCCTTCTCACACAAAACAAACCCACATCTCTACCACCAAGGTAACAGGAGCGAATCACTTACAAGCCTTTGATTTTCCCACTGGTATACGTCCAATTGGCATCCGCAATCCACCTCAGATTGAAGTCATTCAGATCATTATATCTGTGCAGGATCTTGTTAGAGAAGAGCGCCGAACGACATGCAGTATCCCCCTCGAAGATTAGGGGATCATCGGAGCAGGGTGCAGGTCAATACTTACGGTTCATCTGTAAACATTCAACACAGTCAGCAAATCTCAGCCCGGAAATCAGTTGGTAAATAAGAGAAACCATGATCTCACCAATTGTTCCCTCCCGCAAGAGATCCATATGTACCTGAGACGGAAACTGGGCCGGCACCGTACGATTCAACGCGGCACTGCTGAGCGTCCATTGTTCAGCACCCAAGTCACGGACATATTGGCTTTTGCTCGCTGAGGGCAAGAATAATACGCCCAGCAGCGTGATGGCTATTGTGGGAAGCGCACGCATGGTTGTTATTTCGCTTCAACAGGGA